GCCTAAACAACTCAGCGAGACCCTGTCTCAAAACAGTTAAAGATCTACAGACAGTTCAGTGGCACAGCGCTTCTCTGGTGTGCACGAGGCCATGCTTCCAATCTCCAGCACCACAAGCACAGATTACAACTGTTTAACTCAGCACAGAAATCATGACTGCGAAACCTGCATTTTCTGTGTAGCTTTAAAGAACATGAGATACATACACAGAAAGATGGAGGTTCCTGTCCTGCCTGGTCCCGAAGCCATTCAGCCCCAAATAAGTACACGGAGACATATTAATTACTAAACTGTTGGTGGATGGCTAGGGCTTCTTAGTGGCTAGCTCTCTCTTAGTTATTAACCCATAATTACTAATCTATGCATTTACACATGGTCTTCACTTACCCGGACCTGTTACACCTGAGGTGGCTACAGGGCATCTCCTTCTGCTCTTCTCTCTCCTTCTGCTTCCTCTCATAGCCCTGTCTATACTTCCTGCCTGGCCAATTAGTGTTTGATTCATCAACCAATAAGAGAAATATATATGGAAATCCCCATATCTCCTCTTGTCTGTCTAAATAAAAGGAAAGGTTTTCACAGGCCAAAGCTAAAGGATACCTAAGGATGACTGTGGTTAGTATTCAGTCATCTGTACTGTCCTGTCTTTGGGATTCTGACAGTATATGTCCTCAGCTGCAGCCACTAAGAGGGCCACCTGTGTATATTCACTATGTTCCTTTTAAAAGGGCCCTGGCCACATCCCATCCTCCTCTCCCTCTTTAACTCCCTCTTGGTGTCTCATGTCTCTTCCCACCCCTTCTCTGTCTGTTTCTGCCTTTCCTCTCTCCTACAGCTCCTGTCCATGAAGCCTGGGCTGACCCCTTCCCTATCCCCTTTCTGTGATCCCTCCCTCTAATTGAAAAAAAAGAAAAAAAACTTTCTGGAATACTCTCTCAGCCTAGACACACCAGGGACTCGGCCCTGCTCCAAATGAAAGGACAGATTTTGAAGATCCCCATGGAAGGCCTCACCCTTGCTAGGTAGCAGAAAGGGGATGGGATGGGGGTTGGTGTGGGGCAGGGGAGAGGGGAGGGAGAGGGAACTGGGATTGACATGTAAATGAAGCTTGTTCCTAATTTAAATAAAAAGGAAAAACAAACAAAAAACCTTCTGCTGAAAAAAAGGAAAGGTTTTAACTTTAACATAGTAAAATTACATATAGCAAAAAACAGTTATCAAGCAAGAACTACAGTTAACAATCTTTCGTCCATTAGCATTTGGCAAAATTTAAAGAAAATTTCTATCATCTATCCTGTCTTTGTGAGTCTAAAGTTTTATATGTAACTTATCTTTTATCATAACTAAGGAAAACTATAACCCTAACTATCAATTACCAATTATTACCAATCATGTATTTGAAAGGGTTTTTTATTTCCTGGTACAGAGGATCAAGCTTTGTCTTCCAACAGGCTCCAACACACACACACACACACACACACATACATGCACACACAGAGAGAGGGGGGGAGAAGGAGGGAGGGGGGGGGAGGGAGGGAGGGTGTGTTGTGTATTGCGTAGTAGAAAGGTGAGGATCTAATTAATCTTTTCAAGACTTAGTTTGAACTTCCCAGAACAATAGGGGTGGCTTGGGCCAGTCTTGGGAATGTACTTGGCACTTAGGGACCACTTCCAGATCTTTCATTAGGAATTCCTGAGAGGATCCCTGGCTGCATGACTCACAGAGGCTATGAAATTAAGGAGGCATGAGGCCAAGGGAGGAAGGGTGGGTTTCCTGAGACCGTGCTCAACATAATTGTTCTGACATGATGAACCTCTTCAAGGACTGATGAATGTTCTACTCAATGGACTCCATGCCTTCCACTGTCATTCAGGAGACCAATGACTGGGGACTCTCTCCAGTGTTCCTGAGACACAAACTTCCATGAAATAGGAATTTTCTTGTTTACTCCTGTGTATACATTTAACTAATAATCTCCTGTACTTGTACTTAACTAATAATCTCCTCAATTTGGAATACATGAAGAAGTCCAGTACTAGCCAGCAGTGTGGCACATGAGTTTAATCCCAGCCCTTAGGAGGCAGAGGTAGGAAGATCTCTGTGAGTTCAAGACTAGCCTGGTCAACAGGGCAAGTACCAGGACATCCAGGGTGACATAGTTAGACCCTGTCTCAAAAACAAAACAAACAAGAAGTCTAACTGTTATTGGTCATGGCCAGGGAAGAAATGAAGCAAGGGAAATTAGATTCAGGGATTTCATTCTGAAAAGAAAAAGGGGAGATATACAAATTATAGGACAAAAGATAGATTACTGAGTCTACTTTCAAACTAAAAGAGCAACTACTAGCCTCAAATATTTTACATTGATACAAATCTAAGGTTTTTGTTATAGTGTGTGTATGTTTCTATTCCTATTTAAGATATTTTTCTATATTGTTAAAAACTTAAGGTTACTTTTGTTATACTATATGTTTCTATTTCTTGCTTAAGGTATTGTACCTATGCAGCTCATTTAAAAATGTAGCATAAAGTTCTGGTCCTTGAAAGATATTTAGGATAATAAGGAAATACAGGTTAGTAGTTAGTCATTCAAACTTATAATCAAAGTTTATAGCAATCAAACATAAAATCATGTTAGATATGTTTTTAAGGTCAATCAGAGGCATATTTTAGATAGACAGGTGGTCTTCAAACACTTCAGAGACCTACAGAATACGGCGTTTTAATGTTTTATTAACATAGTCTTTTCATGACAGTGAGACACATCTGTTCCCGACAGCATCAGTTTATTTCAAAGGAGAATGACAGGCGTCAAAGGACCTCCATATAGAGTTTGCTTTCATTTGTGGCAAAGTTAGACACTGGGCAAGAAACTGTCCTTGCCTCTACTGCTGACAGTATGCTGTCCACATTGGATAAGCAGGACACAAAAGAAGGCAACTGTCAAACATTGCCAAGACAAGGTGGGACAGTCCTTCAAAATTCCTGCTTCACAGAAAAATTAGATATTTTAGGCCTTTAGTCAGAAGATGGATGCCCCAACATTGCAGAGGAACCTTGGGTAAACTGTCCAGGCAGCCAGATTTCTCTGCCATTTCTTAGTTTTGGAAGTTGTTTGCTCTGCACTTCATGTTTACTCAGGTAATATTATATCCTTCTTGGGTCTCTGACACTGTTGAAGATTAGACAATTGTAATTACAATTTTCCTTAGTTATGACAGAAATAAAGTAAGTCAAAACTGTGGACTCATCAAGATAAGATAGATAACAGAGTAATTTCTCCAGTTTTTACAAATACAAATGGACTGGACATTGTGAATGTGATTCTTACTTAATAATTGTTTTTTGTATATAATTTTACTGTTCTGGAGTTAAAAGTCTTTCCTTTTTATTTAGACAAAAGTGGGGAAATGTTGTGGGATATTTGTACACTGTGTAAAAATGTATTGCTGGGGTTGATGTCATAGAAAGCCGAGTGTCCAGGAGCTAGGGAGGAGGTATAGGCAGGACTTCCAGAGGCAGAGAGGACTCTGGGAAAAAAGAAAGGTGGAGTCACCAGCCAGCTGTGGGAGAACCAGCATGGGCAGTGTGGAGAGATGAGGCAGCAAGCCACACAACATAGCGTAGGTTAAAATACACGGGCTAAGTTATAAGAGCTAGTGGGACAAGCCTAAGTTAAGGCTGAGCTTTCACAGTTATTAATAAGTCTCCATGTCATTATTTGTGAGCTGGCGGTCCCGAGGAGAAAGTCCTGCTACAACGCCCAAAAAATCTACTTCATCTGAAACCTTTCTCCTTCTTGTGCATACAAAATAAAAACTAAAAAGAAAAAAGAAAGAAAGGAGGGAGGAAAAAAAAGTCACCAGCTGAAATAAGAAGACAATAGTCACACATCAGTCTTTACAGCATCCAGACACAGTCAGAAGAGATGGATAAAACAAATCCTCCCTCTAGAGATGTACTTTTTCATCACCAAGAGCACAGAAACCACTTGCACCATGCTCTATGCCATATACCCAAAGGAAAACATTCTGATCCCGCCCTCCTTGGGAAAGACATTGTCATTGAAGGGCTATTTCCAGTATTCTTACAAATTCACGTTCAAGAAAACACGATAGAATTAACCAGGTGGTGCTAGGCATGCTGGACCAACCCTATCATTCCAGCACTCTGGGGGGGGGGGGAAGCAGGAGGATCTAGAGTTTGAGCCAGGCTGGGCCACAAGACTCTATCTCAAGTAATTCACAGAAATAATGAAGCATGTAGGTGTGTATTCGGAAAAGTCAGGCTGGGTCAGAACCTGTTGGATGTGAATGCCATTGAGGCCACTAATGTCTGTGACAATGGGCAGGATGTTTAATTCCTTAATCACGAGGGTGAGTTTGTATTTGCTTTCACCTTCTGTGTTTTTGACAATGAGCTGGGGTGAAATTTAAATAGAAATATTGATGCAAAATTCCTATTTTGCCACAGGCTCTCAAAAAATATAACATATGGCACCTTCATACAGTGTATGGCCTACACCACATCACATATAGTATACATATATACTGCATGAACATGAAAAAGACTGTATAAATTTATAGTATGCTGCAGTGCACATTTAAATCGGTCTAGTAGATTAAATCTAAATCACTATATATATTTATGTATATGTACATATATACTGTTTTTTATTCCCACTGGTCTCTTGGGACAAATTTGAAACGATAGTGTTGGAACACAAATCACTAACCGGATTGTGAAAGATTTTTCAGAAACAGCAGATGTTTACAGAAGACTTCATAGGGAAAATTTTACTAGTGTTTGGGTCACAATAACCTTAGGTCAGGTGACTGGAAAGCAGGGGGAGGAAGTTTGCCTCCTGCCTGGGGGCTGGTGGCTTTGCTTTGGATAAGCAGGAAACAATATGAGTCACTTTGAATCAGCAATTTCCTTTGCAGAATTAGGAAAGTGAGTTCTGTTCTAGCCAGCCACATAAGCAGGATTGCGTCTGTGGATTGCTCGGGCTTGCTTTAAGTGGGCTTTAAGGAGGGAGTGGGGCTCTTGGGAATCTATGGGTGCCTCTGAGCTGCCCAGAATAGGCGGTTCGCTAGAAGGAAAGGCTTGAGCGAAGCCTGGGAAGCAATCCAAAGGAAACTAAGCTGTGCCCTCCCGCGCATTCCACCGAAGAACTGATGCCACGAGCGCCCTTTATTGATTATCAATCGGGGACACACACGCATGTATCAAGCATTGATTTATTCAGTTCCCTAACAACCCAACCTGGAGCATTCTGCAAACAGCCGTGGACTTTCGTTTCTAACTGAAGACCTACGGTAACAAGGTCACAGCCCTTCCTTTGATGCAGCCCATGCTAGTCTCAAGTCCTCTCCCACAGAGACTCAAAAATGGCAATTTTCGTCCAAAGGTAGCCCAGCTCAGGTTGCGCAAACTTGTCTCCCGGGATGTTGGAAGACGCTCTCCGCTCGCTTGGCAGGCACGGGCGGCCTTCCGGGCTGTCCTCGGGGACCTTGCCCGCCCGGCGTGGCGATTGTGCAAGCGCAGCTGCGTGCTGCTGCAAGGCGGGCTGCAGCCTGCAGGAGGACAGGGAGGTGCGCTCGCTCGCTCGCAGCGCACCCGCTGAACCCTGGGCTCGACGCGCCTTTTCTGGGTTATCTCCGGGGTGGAGTCCATGGTGCGCAGAGCATCGGTCACCCAGGCCTAGGCGCCCTCACTCACCTTGCTGACTCCATCCTCTTCCCACTCCCGCCCCTCCGCGTTCCTCCCAGCTTTGCCAGCAGGTCCCCCTCCACCCTACTCAGCGTGCTCATTGGCCACCCTAGCATGCCCTGTCTCCATAAATACGAGGTCCCTGGTCCTGGGAGCTTGAGGAGGCACATCAGACCCGGCGGCATCGCTTCCACCCTCCTTGACACCCTTTGGCTGCAGACTTAGAAGTCCAATTTGCAGACCCACAGAGGACTCTCAGAGCTACCAAACCCCGGCTGCTCTTCTCCAGCCCCTGTGGCCGGCTCAGGGCAGGCACCTGCACCTTAAGCCGCTGAACCTTGCAGCATCCCTGAGCATCTGCCTGTTGGAAGTCCCTCCAGCTCTATACGGCTCCACCACACCCCCGAGTTCTGTTTGCCTCTCTTTCCCAAATCGCCAAGACTTCAGAACCCAACAGCACCTCCGAAACACTTTTCTCCTTTCAGCCCCTGCTCCTCCTTGTGTCCCACGTGTCTCCTGCTACTATGAGCTGCCCCATTGACAAAAGGCATTCCCTGATCGCCTTCCTGAGCCGGCTGCGAGACCTCGGGCAAACCCCTAGACCCGTGACATCCAAAGTGTGCGCTTCCAGCCCGCCAAAAGAGGTGCCCCTCTGCCCTCTGGTGACAGGTGGTGAGAGTCGGGATGCCACCTCTCTACCTGGACCAACCAACTGGCCACTGCTAGGCAGTCTACTGGAGATTCTTTGGAAAGGTGGCCTGAAGAAACAACATGACACGCTGGTAAATAATTTGTCAGGGCCCTCTTCTCTATTCCTTCCGGTCGGGGTGGCCCAGGGGCGGTGGGGGAGGGGGAGCTCTAGTGACCAGGCAGCAGCAGCTCAAGGAAGAAGCGCCCCTGACACAGAAGGATGCGCGCTGATGGCATTAGGACCGCCCCTCTGCAGGCAGAGTACCACAAGAAGTACGGCCAGATTTTCCGGATGAAGCTGGGCTCCTTCGACTCGGTGCACCTGGGCTCGCCGAGCCTGCTGGAAGCTCTATACCGTAAGGAGAGCGCGCATCCCCAGAGACTGGAGATCAAACCCTGGAAAGCCTATCGGGACCACCGCAACGAGGGCTACGGACTGCTGATCCTGTGAGTGCCCTCTGCAGGGTGGAGGCGGTGGGAGGCAGGCCATGCGGGGCAATAGAGAAGACCGGTAGTTAAGAGTTTCCTAGGGTTGAATTTTTCTTATGCAGAACGAATATAGAAGCCTCTGCCCTATAGACCGGCAATTAATTTAATCCTCCAATTGTAGGGTAGACGTGGGTCCCTCCCACCAAAGAGCCACACAGTTGAGAGGATAGACACATGCCTGCCTCGCCACCAGGACACACCTAAAGCCCCAGTCCCCTTTTATTTGGGCTACACCTTCCTGGTGTCAAACCAAGTGTTTTAACACTTATTTGGCAATTTCACACGTGCATATAACGTAACCTCTCATCCGTGTCTTCTCTTTGGTCCCCACCCCGCTGTACTCCCGCTGAGACACTCCCTGGTCCCAACAACTCCCCGTGCTATTGTCCATGTCCTGTTTGTGTTTACCATTAGCTGAGTTTGCTAGCACTAGCATGGGTGGTGTTATTTAGAGCTCTGCCCACTTGTCGGAGCCTACACCACTGAAGAAACACAACGACCCCTCCCCAGCAACCATTAACAGCCACCAGCTCCCTCCAGGGAACTGAGCGACGCTGTGAGCCCCTCTCCGGTCCGTAATGGACAGACGCGAATATTCGTGGGGTGCTGAGGATTTCCCAGGCGACCCTCAGAGTTAGTTTACTCGGGGTGCTCCGCGAATCCTCGAAGCTTCTTTCCCGGCATCCTAAACGCAATCCTTCTGCGCAGGGAAGGAAGAGAGTGGCAGAGGGTCCGCAGCGCCTTCCAGAAGAAACTAATGAAGCCGGCGGAGATCCTGAGGCTGGACAGGAAAATCAATGAGGTTTGCGCCCTGGGGCCAGCTTTCCCGGGGCTTCTCCGGGACCGAGAACCGCAAATTGGGCTTTGGGTCACAGCTCGAAAGCACAGAGAGAGGAATCGTGCGTCGGGGGTGGTTCAGGGGTTGCTGTTTCCCTCCAGCCTTCAGTCCATCCTCTCCCCCACCCCCACCCCACCCCTCAAACTATCCTCCTTTCTCTACTCCAAAGCCTTCTAAACCCCCACGGAAGGAACAATTACAAGCTGACTTTGCGGTCCGCGGCTTTCCACCAACTACTGTTGAGATCCCGGTGTGCTATCTAACTTTCCTAAGCCAGTTTCCCGGGTTTTAGAGCCCCTAGATGACAATACTGTCATGAGAGCTAACGGAGATAATGCCTGTAAAAGTCCTAGGTGGCAACATTTGAGGGGACCTCTGGAGTAGGAGCACAGAGGCAAAGAATTGGGGTGCAGGGCACTCCTGTAGACTAGTCTTCTGAAAATGTGGAGGGATGAAATGGCGTGATGTGTTCAGAGATTTCATATTCCACGGGGGATGAATGATTCGGAAAGATTCTGGACAATGGGCAGACCTTACCTAGACTAGATAAGCCTTTTCTAGAGGGAAAAGCTGCTCCAGATCCAGCTAGCTGCCATCATGTGGAGATATACAGCCAGGGTCTTCTGTGGTAGTAATAGAGACAATACTAATAAAACAGGTGTGGGAAATTCACATACCTGTATGTGAAATCTCTTGTTATTTTTTTTCTTTGAGACAGGGTCTCCCCAGGTAGCCCCTGCTGACCTGGAATTTACTGTGTAGAAAAGGCTTGCTGCAAACTCATACATATCCACCTGCCTCAGCCTCCCTAGTACTTGGGTTAAAGGAATGAGCATGGGTGAACCCCCATGCTCAGCTTTCTGGCTTTCTTGGCTTGTTTTTTTTTTAAAGGTAGAAAATTCAAATTACTTTTCAAATAGATTACATACTCAAGCTAAACAAGCCCATTTGTTACCTGTAGTCCCTATGGCCATTCACCCCTTCTCTCGGGTACATCTTGGCAGGTCACCAGTTACGTGAAAAAGTGACTTAGCGTCTCTAAACGGTTTCTCATCTGAGATATGGAAAGGGAGACGACGGCTGTGCCTCCTGCCTTGTGAGGCTGCAGTGCAGATCAGCTAAGATAGCACACTTTGTAACCACATGTGGTTCCAGTCACACTCACAAGTGTGAAGACTGAGTCACCTCAGGCTCTGGTTTCAGAGTCTGGCAGCTAGAGACCGTGTATGGCTGTCCCAAAGTCGCAGATCTATCTACCGAGGGAGCTGTGTGCAGGACTTGTAGGTTTCCTGGCTCCAAATTCCACATACTTCACCCCAATAGCTGGTAGGAAGATGGACTTCTGCCCCATGCAGAAGCACAAAGTGGAGGTGCTGCTCAAACTCCACCACAGTCCCACAGTGAGCTGCAGTTCCACTTAGGGCTGATTCCTCCCTCGTGCTTTACACATCCAACCTGCCCAGAAAGGACGCTTTCCTTCTTAGAGTATCAGAGCCAGAGCTGGGGAGATGGCTCAGCCAGTAAAGTGCTTGCACTCTAGTCGTGGAGACCTGAGTTCAAATCCCAGCGGGGGGGGGGGGGGGGGGGGGGATAGAAACAGGAAAATACCTGGGAGGGATCACTGGCCAGCCAGGCCAGTCAAATTCCAGAACCCTATCTCAAAAATTAGGATGGAGAACAACTGAGGTAGACACCAGTGTCAACCACTGCCCTCCACACATGAGCACATCGACACATGCCACCCACACAAGCATACATGCAACACACACACACACACACACACACACACACACACACACACACACACACACGAACCCAAGGCAATTACCGGAAATACCCTTCAGAAGAGCCTGAAACTTGAGTTTCAGTGGCTACAGGAAGAGCTCAGGAAAGATCTGAGGACAGACCTGGAGAAGACAAGAAGACAGTGTGGAATTAGTGCTAATCAGCAACAGCAGTGGGATCCCCTCCAATGAACCCCTGAGTGTGAACTTTCTCTGTCCCTCCGGTGACATAAAAATGTGCCTTTCCATGTTGCTTTCTTTTAAGGTCTTGGCTGATTTTATGGGGAGAATAGACGAGCTGTGTGATGAAGGAGGCCGCATCAAAGACTTGTACAGTGAACTGAACAAATGGTCGTTTGAAAGTAAGTTGATTTTACAGTCTTGTTCACTTAACTTTGCAAGAGATCTGGGGGATAAAACTCAACACTGCTTACATTTCCATAAGGATAGGTTATCACCAAGTAGGAGAAGGTTGTGAAAACCCATTTTAATTATGACTTGTAATATTCATGAAATCATCCAACAAACATTTATTAAACAAATCCTAAGTGTCAGGCACTTGTTAGGTCCTAGGGACACGGCGAGGAACAAAGCTACAATTCTAGTGACAAATATTGGTAAGGGCATTTAAAGGACTAAGAAGGAACAGAAGCATGGGCCTTGCTGAGAGGAGTCCTCTCCACTGGGGAGACAAAGGTCAGGAAAAGGGGAGGTTAGAAAGGAGTCTTTGAACAAGTGTCCCAGACAGTGCAGTCAGGTGTTCAAAACCCCACCCAGGGACAAGTGTGAGCAGCTTGAGGCAAACAACAGCAGCTGCCCTTCCCCTTGCCTCTGCACTCTACACAGAGACAACAGGGAAACGGGAAGATAAAGAAGGACTTCCCTGCTGCCTTTTCATCTAGAAAGTAAAGGGAGTGCTGAGGAGGTAACTCAGTGGGAAAAAGTTTTCGGGCAAGCATGAGGGCCTAGGTTCAAATCTCCAGAACCCACACAAAGTCAGAGGAGCACAAGTCTGTAATCTCAGTGCTCCTATGGCAACGTGGGAGGCAGGGAGAGGGGGATCCTGGGAAGCTCTGGGGACAGCTAACCGGTGTATGAAGTCCCAATCCACAAGAGACCCTGTCTCAAACAAGGTAGAAGGGGAGGACAAACATCAAAGGCTGTCCTCTGATTTCCACATGTCCACTGTGGCACACAGGCACCTACAATCTCTCTCTCTCTCTCTCTCTCTCTCTCTCTCTCTGTGTGTGTGTGTGTGTGAGAGAGAGAGAGCGAGAGAGAGAGAGAGAGAGAGAGAGAGAGCGAGAGAGAGAGAGAGAGAGAGAGAGAGAGAGAGAGAGATCTAAAAAGCCAAAAGAGTAGATTGATAGATTGGTGTGGTAACTCATGCCTGTAATTCCAACATTGAGGAAGCAGAGGCAGGAAGATGGACATGAACTCAAGGCTAGCCTGGGCTACACAGCAGTATCCCTTCTTAAAAAAAAAAAAAAAACAGGGGAGAGGTTAATTTCCTTTCGCTAAAAACGGGTCACATAGCTACTGAAATTGTCCTGGGGCCTCAGGATTATTACCAAAATTCCAAATCCATCTTGAATTCTTGCCTGTGGACTGCTCCTCTGATGCCCTGAGTCAAGCAGGAGTCGTCTTAGGGAAGAAGCATTATACGTGTCAGTGGTAAACTCTGGCAAGATCAAGAGAAGAGTTAGTTGTTCGTGTACAAAAAACAACTGCATTTGCACAGTGGTAAAAACTTTGTGGAATGAGTTTGCAATGGGCACCCAAAATAATGCCCACAATTGGGACAGCAGCACTTCCTGGCTGAATCCACCTCTGTACCTTGTCTTCAAAACACTGGGAAGTGTAAGTGGGTCAGAACTGCTGTGGCTGTGGTGCTGTTTTATGCTGAGAAGCCCAAACCCTGTGCTCTTAAGTAACTTTCACAGAGAGGGCCAATTAGTCATTAAATCTCAGTGCTCATGAACAAGAAAGTTTTATGGTGATGTTAGTGTAGTTTTTGCGAATGATCATTTTGTAAAGAATTTATCCATTCATGTGCAGGATTTCCCACAGCCACTCAGAGCCTCTACGTTTAGTAAACTGTCAGGGAGCATTCTCATTCACTGATCTAAGCTCTCCTTGAAGGGAAACAGTAACTAACACCTTGTAACTCCAAGGTCAGCCTCACAATTGTGTTTACTGCTGGGAGAAGAAGTGGCAGATACTATTGTAAAGTCAATGGATGTCCCACAGCTGTGACACTTGCTCCTGGTGGGACCAAGTCAGGCATTGTGGGATAAAAAGGTTATTGAAAGGTTAAACAGGATGCATTCAGAAAACATGAGACATTCAGTCATTTAAGTTAACAGTTACCGAAGGTAGTTTTTAGGACAAATGGGGGCTTTCTAAGTAGCCACACAGTAGGCCTAGTAAAGAACAGGGCAGGCTCTCAGGGACATTAATAATGGATCATGGTCATGTAGGACAATGTTGTCATTCTTAGGAGATTAATGCTACAATGCAGATGCAAAGCATCATGGGAACTAAGCATTGTTTCAGGTGCTGTCACCTGTACTGACCCATACACATCCCCATGTGGACACACACCCAGGGAGAAAGCAATTGAAACAGCATGTTCAGTTGCTACATCCAATTCAGGGGACACTGGTATTATAGAATTCAAATTTTCTCTGTGTGAAAAATTTTAAAGACTAAGGCACCTTATTTGGAAATAGGTTGAACCTAAACAACATTATTAAATGGAAAACAGAACAGAGAAACACCTCTCCCGTGTTAGCCCAGTGCCTGGCAGGTACTGGGAACTTAGTCCCTAGCTTTTCCTCTCCCAGCCCCTCTTCCGGTGCTGGCTTTCTGTATCCTGTGTTTGGCAGCAGAAGCTGTTGACTACTCCAACAGCTTGGCTGAGTCAAAGCAGCGCAGATCTCTGAGCCAGTGATACACCTCTGCCCTCACCTGCTTGAGACTGACGTGGACAGTGTGTCTTTCACCAGGAGGCTCGAAAGCTCATGGGTCATTTGCTCCCAGAAATGACATGTAGAGAGAAAAGGGAGGGTCCCTGCCCTCCTCTCACACTCTTAAAAATTTTGTTCTCCTTCTAGAAGAGACCACAATGTCATGAGACACAGAACTCAGTCTTTAATAGCCAGCTAATCATAGACTCTGGCAGAGCTACGATCAAATAACAATAGTGATTATTTCCAATGACAGGTATCTGCCTTGTGTTATACGAGAAGAGATTTGGGCTCCTTCAGAAGGACTCTGCAGAAGAAGCTCTGACCTTTATTATGGCCATCAAGATGGTAAGCAGTCGCTCTGGACAGCCTAACAGAGATTGTCCCCAAGGAGGAGTGTGTACACTTATGTATTGTAGTTAACTCTAAACTTTGATGTCTAGATTTTAATATATACATGAGCACCAATCACAAACATACAAAAAAAGCCCATTATTTATCAGTTTAGGCAAAGTTATTTTACTGCAAAAATTATTTTAAACATACTTAATTTATCTTGATTAATGGTCAGCTGGTTCAAAGATATCTTTTAAAGTTTCTGAGTGTTTCAGATTTTACAGTTTTGAATGGTTTAAGTGATTTGAGATATCATGGACCCGGTGAAATTGATTTGAGATTAGCTAATGTTATGTGGTATCCAGAAACTGGAGTCAATGGGCAAATCATAATTTTCCAGTTCTTTCTTTTTCCTTTACAATTAGACCATTAAAAACTGGGGCTCGTGGCACAGCCCTGTCATACCAGCCACTTGGTTGAGGTGCTGAACTGAAGTAAGATAATTCCACATTTTCAGCTGGTTTGGGCTACAGAGTGAGTGCAAGGGCAGGCTAGACAATGTAATGATACTTTGCTTCAAAATAAAATAATATAATATAAAAGGGATACAGTGTAGCTCTATAGTGGATGCCTTTTTAGCAACAGCAAGGCCCTGGGCTTGCTGTTTGATCCCCAATATCACACACACACACACACACACACACACACACACACACACACACACACACACACGTGTGAAAGGTCATGAGATGACACTTTTTATTAAACACAGAGCACAAAGCCATCTTTGAGATGAGTGAGAGAGCTAGTGGGGCTTTGAATCCCACCCTTTGGAGATACAGGAGTGGTCTGATTTAGGATCCCACCCCCTTCAAGAGAACACTGGCTTAGAGAGAAGAAGAATTCAGGGTTCAAGTTCTTGGGTTTCTTCCAGATGATGAGCACATTTGGCAAGATGATGGTGACCCCCGTGGAGCTGCACAAGAGTCTCAACACCAAAGTGTGGCAGGCGCACACTCTGGCCTGGGACACCATTTTCAAAGCAGGTGAAAGAGCTTCCCTTCCCATTGCCCACGTCTATGCGGTTACCCTGACCAGGAGAGGCCTCCTGTGATCTACCTGCTGAGCCATCATGATCTTCCCGTGGTGTGGCTTCTACTCTACAGCTGTCCAAACCCATGAGCATAGTGGGGGGGGGGGGTTGGAGGATACTCTCTTCAGTCCACTCTACAAGCCGAAGGTACAACTTTTAGTGTCCTAGTGGAACATAAATACCGAGTATATTATGATATTTTGGTGGTTAGGGCTCTTTCTACTCCATGACACTGGGTATTAGCAGTCCTGCATATCTTTAACCCTTACCCAAACCCACACGGTCAACTCTCCCAAGAGTCCCCCAGCAATGGCCCCGAGACACACCTAAGTAGCTTTCCCAAGATGCCAGACCAGGCCATGCTTCAGACTAAGATGCCAACTGCACCACAGGCTAACCCTGCCCACTAGCTCCATGGTAGTCTTAGTTAGGTGTCTGTCCGAATAATGAATTAGAGTCTGAATGTGTTTCATAAACTCTAAATGTTTTGAGTGTTATCAGTATTTCCAGGCACCTGTACTTGTATATATGTTTAGTAATATCTGCATCCAAGTTTGGAATGTACACACAAGGCCAGTTCTCATCCCCTCTCATGCTGGTCCCTTCTGAGCTCTGAGATTTAGTTCATCAAAATGTGACTGCAGTCCTGCCCCAGAGCTTGACAGAAATGTAGACTTCAAGGCCATACACAGTGGTGCATGCCTTTAGTACCAGCTCTCCAGAGGCCGAAATAGGCATATATCTGTGAGTTTGAGGCCAGCCTGGTCTACATAGCAAGTTCCAGACCAGTAGGACTACAGGTGAATCCCAGTCTTAAGAAAGAGAAAAAAACAGAGAGAGAGAGAGAGAGAGAGAGAGAGAGAGAGAGAGAGAGAGAGAGAGAGAGAGAAAGAGAGAGAGACTGGCTTCAGGCTCCCCGATCCCTGATTCTGAATCACACTTTTAGAAGATGCCCAGTGGATCCTGAGAAGTCTATCCATGTCAGTCTTGACCAGTCCTTGCCAGTGTAGCAAGAACATTCACTAGACACCCCTCTAGCAAATTGTCAATGTCCCTGAAAAGACTCTGAGCAAGATTTTCTTGGGTTCTTTTCCTCGTCCAAATTTTCAGGCTCTCTCTCCTTTCACTCCTCCATCACAGTGAAACCTTGCATTGACAACCGCTTGGAAAAATACTCCCAGCAGCCTGACACAGATTTCCTTTGCGATATTTACCACCACAATCATCTCTCCAAGAAAGAACTGTACGCGGCTGTCACTGAGCTCCAGCTTGCCGCAGTGGAAACGGTAAGGATAGGCAGGGACTCAGTTGGCTAAACAGTGATGAATTTTTAAGCAGCCAAAGGAATCATTCCCTCCAACAGAGTTACTGGAGTAGCAGCAGCCACCCAAAACCAGCAGTAATAGTAAGCTTCCCATAGTGAGTGCTGTGGGGAACTCAAAACATGGCCTCTTGTTAAGGTCAGGACTGGGACTTCGTGTGATAACATATTCTCCAATGAAAAAGTCCTGAGTAGGCAGATATGGGAACCAATGTGTGAATTTGGAAACAGTCAGGTACCCATGCTCTGGCAAAATAACTTAAGTTTCTCCAGCTTCGTGGCTGGAGAGATAGCTCAGTTGGTAAAGTACTGCCTGTGCATCCATGAGGCTCTGATTTAAAAAAAAAAAAAAAAGAAAAAAGCCAGGTAAGTTGGCCGTGTATGTGCAATGCCTGGGCTGGGAATGTAAAGAAAGGAGGATCCTGGGGCCAAGAAGACCAGCTAGTCCAGTAAGAGAATCTGCCTCAAAACAATAATGTAGAGAGTGGTTCAGAAAGATGCTTGATTCAACCTCCAGCGTCCACACGCATGCACATACTTGTGCCCCGACATATGAACACAGACACAGACACAGATACACACACACACACACACACACACACACACACACACACACGTCTTCAGACTACCCCCATAGTGACTACCTGTGGCTGATGATATTTAAAATAAGATGAAATAAAACTCGCAATACAGTCCTCCAGATCAATAATACGTTTACTGCCTAAAAGTACAAACAAGATGAGCTGGGGATGGCTGGATTTTGATTTAAATGCAACAACTCACAGTGTGCAATGCACCAGCCGATTCTATTGGTAGATTTGCCCTGCAGCCGCCTTCCTCTGTCTCTTACGCGCTATCACTGGTGTGACGCATACTCACACTCTTCCAAGTCCCACATATGTGCACAGTCAAGTCTCCAGGCAGAACCTCCCCAGCTAACTGTTTTCTTGCATTTCCTTTTCATGATGCTTCTTGGAGGAGAAAAGGCAGGGTTTCTGTGGGAGGGGGCCACACCCCTTTCCTTCTCCCTCTCACTCCAAGAGATTGACGAGAGCAGTAATTGATCTGCTCTCCCTTTCTGAGTGGATGGCAGACCTTTCCACAGAACAACAGAGGCCATTGGTCTTCTGTTTGAAGGGTGAATTCTGTGAAAACTGTGGCTTTGCTTTGTCTACAGTATCATTCCAAGAACAATAAGGGGGTCAACAAATGCTTACTGAGCAAATGAAGGAGGTTGAGAACTATAGAGCACCTACTACGTGCCAGGCTCTTAAAAAAAACACTAGGAATGAGAGGCAAAGTCTTGTTCCTGGTACAACTTCAGTGCCAACAGGAGGAGAGACAGGAGCAAACATGTGCACGCACGCACACACACACACACACACACACACTCACACACACACACGTATCACTATTTCAGTTAGGGGTATATACCATGAGGGAACATTTTTGTTTTTTTTAAGCAAGGGAAGTAAGCTGACCAATTTATGCTTTGACAAGGGAACTATGGCTGGTGGGTGGAGAGTGAGCCTACTAGAGAGAAATTAGCATCCATCGAAGGCCAGTTAAGGTTATGGGTACCTTCCCGACAGAGGTCATGCCAGGACAGGCTGAGCCCTTGAGGGTTCCTTACCCACTTCCCCTGGAATTAAGCTTGGCAATTTTCCTGAGGGGCCCAGACAGCGTGCTATGGATGTGGTGAAAGCTGAAGTCACCCAGCCCCATGGAGCACTATTTGACACTTGTGGTGAGGTACTCTCTGATATGGTTATACACCTGACCCATTTCCTTTTCAGTCCTGTTTATTCTGTAAGTCACATTGGGTGGATCAGAGCGGCTTGACTGCCTTTAATTTGGAGGCCACGCCCTCTTCCCCGTTCTGTAATAACGCCATCCACGGTTAATTTGCAGCTGAAGCCACTGGCCCTCTGACATGAAGAAGCCTGCCTGGGAGGCATGTTCTTCCAAAAATAATAAAAACCAATTGGCTCTGACTCGTCATGTACCCTGCTCATTAGTGTGAGTGGGTCATGGCACTCACTGAGTCACAGCGCCACGGTGTCTGCAGAGCGAGGACAGGACCACTGTGTTTAGGAGACTGGCCCGTTTAAGCCAGCTACAAAGCAGCCACTCCTGCTGGTGCATATGGTCACTGCTCCTCATTACCTTCAGAAAAGACACCAAAGATGCCCTTAAAAGGCCACCAGCCTTTGTCAAAAACAGCCTCTGACTTCTTGGCATACTGGATTTGATGTTAGAATTTATCACACACCCCACTCCTTTTTCGGCAGGGTGTTGCAGCCTCCCGTAAAGGCGTTTTGCATGTGGCTAGAACCCTGTCAGAGCCTGCTCGTGTTCGTGGTGGATTCCGAGTATAGCCAAAGAGCTTTCATTAGGTTCCAGAAAGACAAAGTGTTATGCATTTAATTGCACTGGAAAATGTCGTTAGAAAACCTTCCATTGGCAGCACTAGAGCATCTCTGTCCTTTCGTCACTCAGTTTTACATCAAGTTTTGCTCATTAAAAATGTTATGGTTCAATTGGGAGGGGTGATTTTTCGAGACAGTCAATTTTTATTTTGAGGCCATGAGAGAGTCACTTTTAGGTCCCAGGGGGCAGAAACAGAGAGGACTTCTTTGTGTCTTGCTCCGGTTTCCCCCTAGTGGTAGCATCTCGTGTAGCAGTAAAATAACACCACGACCCAGAAATGAGCCCCAGGAGTCCCCAGATTTACCCAACATTTGTTTGTGTTTGAGCAGTTACATACAACTGTAGTTCTAAACATGAGATTTCATTCTCCTGATGGCAGCTTAAGGCCAGCTATCGGCAGACTCTCTTATCTGTGGTTTGCCTTTCAGACAGCGAACAGCTTGATGTGGGTCCTTTACAACCTATCCCGGAATCCCCAAGCGCAACAGAGACTTCTTCTGGAAATCCAGAGCGTGTTGCCCGGGAAGCAGATGCCACGGGCGGAAGATGTGAGGAATATGCCCTATTTAAAGGCCTGTCTCAAAGAGTCCATGCGGTAAGGACACGCCTCTGAGCCAATACACCGGAAAGGCTTCTCTTTTGCTTTGGACAATGAATTACATCCCCGGAAAAAGGGTTCTCTTAGACCATAACAACGGTACCTTAAGATGGCTCCCCTCAAGCTACCTCCCCTGGCTGGTTATACATATCTATTAAACTAGAGAGAAGGGTCTTGGGGTGTGTTGATGTTTATATATTGCTCACATCCTCAGCCTTGTGGGCCAGTCCTACAGCCTGCCTCTGATGGATGCTGTCAGTAGGAGGGAGCCCTCTGTGATTGTAGGGTTGGAGATGAAGGTAGAGTGAGAAGACACAGAGACAGACATCTTGGTCCTTTAGCCTCTAGCTCTTCCTGGAAAGTAAACCTCCAGTGTGGATCAGAAGGGAACAGCACCACCTCTGTGGAAGGCAGTCAGCAGTAGAGTAGAAGAAATGCAAGCTTTGGGTGAAGCCGGAGATGCCTGCAGATTGAATGGAACAGAACGATGGATGAGCCACTAGCCAGCCTTACATCATGTGATAAGAAACTAGTGTGATAAGAAACAGGAGACATACATATTGAGAAGGAGGGATTAAAAAACAACTTAGTTCTTTGAAGATTTCATACAATATATCTTGATCATGGTCATTCCCCTGCCTCAACTCAACTCAGGTCCATCCCGATTCCTCAGTCACTCAACTTTGTGCCTGCCTTTTCCCCCATCAACTCCAATTGCTGTTGCCATGGATTCTTGAGTGTGGAGGAGGGTAGTCATACATCAGGGGCTACACGCCTAAAGAAAACCCGGCTTTCCCCATCCCAGCAGCTGTCAGTTGCCAATGACCCCTCATGGGAAGAGGGAGATTTTCTTCCTCATCCTGACTGAACTTCTGCTTCTCATTCTGTCTCCATTCCTAGTGCCACATCAGACAAAGTGTATGTGTGATCACCTTTCCAATTCTGATTTTATTTTCCAGATTAACCCCAAGTGTGCCGTTTACAACTCGCACTCTGGACAAACCAATGGTTCTGGGTGAATACGCTTTACCCAAAGGAGTAAGTAGAATTTGCATGTCTGTTCCTTAGCAAAACTTGACAAGATTACACTTCCTCAGTGCTTGACCCTGGCGCTTGTTACCAGGGGAGCATTCATTCTGGAAGTCCACAGAAGGGTCCACCCTGTTCTTCGTCTGAAAAAGCGGAGAGAGAGGAGGTGGTCGTGAACATGGAACACAGAAATCTAGAGTTCTGGGGCTGGGGCGGGGTTTCAGTAGGTCTGAGCTCTTGGTGCACAAGAACAAGGACCTGGGTCTGCATCCCCTACACCCGTGAAGAAAACTGGATGTGTGCGGGGCAGGCAGAGGAGGTTTGGTGGTCTTTGCTGGCTGCCAGCATAAACCCAGGTTCCTGGAGAGACCCTGCCTCAAGGGACTAAGGTGGAGACTGATAGAGGAGACCTCAGGTGTCGTCCTTCTGTATGTGCACATGGGTACCTATACCTCCCCACACATGTGCACACAACATGTCAATCGATACAGCCATCAGTACTGTGTTTCTGTGAATTAGTTTTGCTTCTGGTTATTCAAAATATCATCTCTTTCTGTGTGTGCTTTTAGACGGTGCTAATGCTAAATACCCAGGTACTGGGTTCCAGTGAAGACAATTTTGAAGATGCCAGTCAGTTTAAACCTGAACGCTGGCTGCAAAAGGAGAAAAAGATCAATCCCTTTGCCCATCTCCCATTTGGCCTTGGGAAGAGAATGTGCATTGGGCGCCGACTGGCTGAGCTGCAGCTCCACTTGGCTCTTTGCTGGGTAAATGTCCTCCCTGGGTTCCTGCAGCCACAATCTGGACTATCCCACAACACAGGGGAGAGAGGGCTAATTCTGCTTTTGTCCCAATGTGTGTTACAGATCATCCAAAAATATAAGATTGTGGCTACAGACAATGAGCCTGTCCAGATGCTGCATCTCGGCATCCTGGTACCCAACCGGGAACTGCCCATTGCATTCTGTCGACGGTAAGATGCTGAGGTGAGTGACTGCATCCCTGTTGCCCTCAGGTGCCTTACCTGACCAGGAGTGAGCCAAGTTTGAAAGTTTCTAGATTTATCTTTATTTTCTCCCTTCCTCCCACTCTTTCTTTTCCTTCCTTCCTTTCTTTTTTAAAGATGTTATTTTGAATGTGTGTGTTTGTGTGCCGCAGAAGTATGGGTACCCACAGAAGTTAGAAGATGCCCTCAGATCCCCTGGATCTGGAGTTACAGGTGACTGTGAGTTGCCCAGATAACATGGGTGCTGGGAACCAAATGGGGTCTGCTGCAAGCGCAGCAAGTGTTCTTGACCATGAAGCCGTCTCTGTAGCCACACACAATGTCTCCTTTTCAACACCACTGACCTGTGTTCTTTCCTTTTAACTTGGTCCCAAGTATGTTGATCAAGCCCCTGTGCTAAGAAATCCCTTCTGCAGTAAACCCTGAGCTTTGTCAGTCTGATTGGTCTCTCCTAATATAAATTACAATGAGCTCAGAACCAGCGATGTGACCAGAAGTGAGATGGAGACACTTTATTGTCTGATGTGGATGGTGGCATCTCCAACCTGTAGCTTGAGAGTCACATGTTCATGTTTGAAGCCAGCCACCCCCCCACCACCGTGGTGTGTGTGTGTGTGTGTGTGTGTGTGTGTGTGTGTGTGTGTGTGTGTGTGTGTGTTTTCAACAATGTGATTAGGGTTTTCTTGGGGTCAAGAGAAGGAGCCACAGAGGTGGTTGGATTATTTGGAGCAGCACAGTTACGGATGGAACTTCTGAATGAGATCCCAAAAATACAGAAATAATTCCATAGGGTCTGTAAATGACAGAAAACCATGTCAAACTCTGAGAGGCCACATGAGGTAGAATGGCATAAAAACTGTTAATTACAAGGCCCCAGGCATCTGCAAGGCCAGAGTGCACATTTCACTTTTGGCAGATAACGGTGATATTCCTAATTTCTGGTGATTGAAATACCCAGTGTGACCTATGATGCTATCTACTTGATTTTCCAGATTTTTCTCTTCACCAAGATCAAGACCAGCAATCTTTCCCCTTCTGCAAGAATGGTGCTTATGGCTTCAGTGTTCCTAGATGGCAAACTTCAAGGACCAGAGCATGGCACACATTGCCTTCGGTGGAAGCTATTGTCTAGACAATGATGTTTACTAAGACCAGTGACTCAGGGAAGCATGAGTGGCCAGCCCCCACCCCCAGACGCACCACTGGTTTACATCAGCCAATCAGAACCCTTCTTGGTTCTATAGCCTTGTTCAAGCGCCTGCTGCTTCCCCGTCTTCTGTGATATCACAGTCAGTCAGCCATTCTCGTAAAGGTTGCTGAATGTTTCTGCTACCAAACCTAAAGAAGCATCCTTAATTCTCATCTCGAATACAGAAACACAGACCTACTATGGCTTAATTGTCTGGGGATCTGAGTGGTTCTGACTGCCATTTATTGTAACTCTGTTTTATGAAATATTTGTGAAATGCCGGCTGTCAACAGAGCTAAACCTTAGGTAAAAGCTCTCAGGAAGCTGTTTTTCCTGCATACAAGGGAAAATGTTGCTGGGAATTAGAACTGCCTATTTTAAGAAGTTCTTTAGCGAAGCCAGCTCCTTGCTTAAAGACGCCTCGTTCACGAGCAGGACTCTGTAATTTTTTATCTCATTGGTTCCTTTTCTCTGTGGTATTGGACGGATGAATCAGCAGTTTCTAAGCTGTGCATGTATGTGTGGTTGTGGGCTCTGGGAGTACTTTACTTCAGTCATGCTTTTACAGAAAAGAAATAGGGAACCCAATTTAGGGTCTGCAGTGTGGGACTGTGTCCTAAAATTTAGTCACAGCTTAAAAGTACTCCTTGCAACTTTAAGAATAGAACGTTCTGTGCCTTAATTTCTTCATCTCTTTAAAGTGATAATGGTAACGTAAGTGTACTTAGAGACTACCTATGCAACTTGTGTAGTGTGACTTGAACTCCCAGGGAAAGCATGATTTCCTCAGTGCAAACTGTGGGATTATGCACTACTCACAAAACTTACAAATGTTTACATATAATTTTCGAATTTTCTAACCAGCACTCTTTTCTGTAGAAATTTACTGTTTATTTCTGTATATTTGATAAAGATTTCCCTTTTAGGTTATGGTTTTAGAATAATTCTGAAATATACATTGATATGTACATTTGAATGAGTATGCGTGTATGGCTAACACAGGTATATGCTTTCCCTCTTATGAAATTATCTTTACAGTTATAAATCCAGACACTAAAGATGGAGTTCTGGGGTAAGAGTGTTTACCTACTCTATGTGGGGTCCTGAGTTCAAGGCCCAGGACTGCCAAAAAACAAAAAATAAAAATAAAATGAACAATTATACCCTTGTCAGATTTTTGTTTTTATATATTTGTCTTTCTTTAAAAATTATTACATTTATTTATTTATTTATTTATTTATTTATTTACTTGGGGGGCCCACCCGCCACATCGCACCTGTGGAGGTCAGAAGACAACTTAGGGAGTCAGTTCTCTCCTCTCAGCGTGCAGGTGCTCAGGACCAAACTCATTGTCAGGTTTAGCAGCAAGCACCTAACCACTGAGCCCCTTACCAGCCCCTTTGTGTTATATCTTTGAATTCTTTGAAAGTAAGAATGAATTCTTTTTAATTTAAATACCGTGGAGATTTTTTTCTCTCTTTGTTATGCTTTACGTGGCCACTTTTTAAAAGCTGAACTTTGTTTTATTAGTAGAAAATGTGTGGCCATTTTACAAGGCCCTTAGGAAAGTTTAGATTTTGACAGCCCCTTTGCTGAGAGAGGGTCCCTTAATAACAAAATAAACTTCTGGCTTCTGCTCTTACCAGCTTTTCAAGTCACTTGTCCACATCCCCAGCGCAGTTTTAGTGTTTATGTGATCACTGTGACCAAACACCTGGCAAACAGCGTAAGGGGTGTGGATTTATTCTGGCTCCCAGTGTGAGGATACAGTCCACCGTGGCGGGGAAGGCAGGGAGGCAGGAGGCAGGCTGTGTCTGCTGGGACAGGAGGAGCGTGAGGCTGCCGGCTCGTATCTCTGCACACCAGGCTACAACCCCTAGACTTCCTCCAGGTAGATCCCACCTCCCAAAACAGCGCCACCATCTGGTGATCAGGTGTTCAAACACATGAACCCCTGGTATTTTATATCCATTTATATTTACATTCATACATTATAACCACCACCCCTTCATGCCTCTACAACTGAAATAACTCACCATCAATTCTTGTCTGCTTTCTTATCTTCTCTCTCTCTCTCTCTCTCTTTTTCTCTCTCTCTCTCTTCCCCTCCCTCTCTCTATGTCTTTGTATGTATCTGTGTGTATATATATGTGTGTGTGTGTGTGTGTGTGCTTGTCAGTCTCTGTCTCTTCCTGTCTCTCTGTCTTTCTGTCTCTATCATTCTTGCTCTACTCTTTCCTCAGGTAAAGCAGGCTGGCTTCAAATTTGCTATGAAGCCAAGCTTGATCTTGAGTTTTTAGCTCATGCCTCTATCTCCTGAGTGCTTCGATTACAGCCATGTGCCGCCACGCCCAACTCCTTTCAAATATCAATCTTGATGCCTTCTCATTCCTACTTTGTGGTTGGCTCTCCACTCCTTTAACATAAATATCCAATTCTGTAAACTGCCCTTTCCTGCCAGATCCATCAATTGGATGGTTCAGCCTACGTGAGCTATCCCCAGTGCCTCTGGACTCTGCCCACACAGCCTCCTGCCGCTCTCCTCTAGTCCAACACTGCCCTCTCCAGATCATGAACACCTGCAGTGCTTCTCCTGTCTTCCTGGCAACTCTGCCTGTTCCCTCACATACACCATGCAGAATTCAGCTCAGGCTTCCTCTGCGTAATGCATATTCTGTCCACAGACTCTGACCCTGGGACCAGGACCCTCTACGGGAGTGGCTTCTGGGGAGTCCTAGAGACAGTGACTGCCGGAGTCCTGAAATTCAGGCTGTATCATGGGGATGCCTTCCTAAGCACATTGAGTTCTCACTGTCTCCAGGTACAGTGGCAAGGACAGCTCAAGGAGTGTCTTTAAGGGGCATCACATGTTCCTGGGATCAGAGCACAGAGAGGCCAGAGAAGGCCCACAGAAGGGGAAAGGGCAGCAGAGAGTCAAACTGGAGCAAAGACAGTGCCTGCTGCCCCTTGTCTGTCCATGAGCAGGTCTCCTGGAACTGATTCTGACCCCACTGGTTAGAGCTGTGACAATGAGTATTTTTGAACTGCTCGTCCCGGTAGAAGAGAAACTTCCAAGCAGGTGGCAGAGAAGGAGGCTGTTTAAGGGCCAGCTTCAGCCAGTGCCCATCCTTGGATCACAAGACTGGCTGGGAGAGTGAAGCTCACATGGGTCCAACGACCCCCCAGTGAAGGCAGAGCGGTAGACAGGAGATGGCTTCTGCTCCACTCCAGACTCATTTCCGGTATGAATCTCAAAGTAGGAACACCTTGCTCAGCTGTGTGGTTCAGGATGTAGGAATGTGTTACTTGCAGAGAGCGTGTGGACCCTCCACCTGACTGGATCATGTCATGTCATTTTCAAAGCAAAGAGTCAGAAGCCTCTTCTAACACTGTTCATGTGGAGTCCTGAGCTACAGTCTCAGGGTGTGAGAGCTACTGTAAGCCTTAGAAACGGTGTCTCTCCCTGCCGATTTCCAAACCCAAGTCCCCAGTGTCCCTCTGCTGCAGAGAAATACTCTTGAGCTCTGTGGCCTGCAAAGTCCAAGCTGGTGTAAGCAGGGAAATCTCGGCTTTCAGAAGTGATGGCTGCACCTGAATTTCTGCCAGAGAGAAGCCATCTCTTGGCTTTATGGAGTGAGATGTCCACTATTAAATGGAGGCTAATATACTTTATGCCGCTGTGTTCCCGTGAGGCTTAGAAGACACTGGGACATATTTTGCTCAGGACTTGACTCAGAGGAAAAATGGTGTCAGAACTCGTACTTCTGGATCAAATATGTAAAAACGAAGCACTTCCCTTTATGGAGGGAAGGGGTGTCAGGCAAAATGCCCCAAGTCCTGGAGGCAAGGATACAAAAACAGTCATCTTTCCTGACAAATACACGAGATCTAAGAGAGGAGGCAATTAAAACTTCAACTCTCCTGGAAAACTAACAATCACTGTTTTAGTTCCAGTGTTCCATATGAGATTGTATGCTAAACATTAAAAACTGAAAGTCCCCATATTCAATTTGACATATGGTATGTGATTCAGTTATGGGTGCCCAATAGCAACATTTCTGAGCCCATCCGTCTCTCCAGGCCCGGCGTCCATCGGTGTGAACTTGATGGAGGAGTATGTGGTTAAACGGGCTATAATCTGTCTCTGTGATTCCCTTTAATGCCAAGATTGCCCTTATTTAAGCAGTAGAGTCTCTTCAAATAGATCGAGGTGAACACTCAGTGTGTTGCTTTTTGAGCCCTTCCATCTCCAGGAACAAGAAGATACCACAATCCACTCTTCTACTCTGCCTGTCCCAGCTCAGGAAAGCCTCCCCTCTACAAAGAAAAAATCCAGGTTTGTTTCAGTAGACAATGGTTTTCAGACACCAAATCCCAGTCTAGATACCCTGAGCATTCAGACTTAGGAAGTGGTGGGTGGAGAGGAAGGGAGGCGGGGAGGAGGAGGCAAACATATGAGGGCAGAGGGGAGGAGGAAGAAGAAACACAGACAATCTAAACCTGATTGAATGGCCTATGTGAATTCTTTGTATAGTTCTTGTAGTTTCTCTGAAATTGCGTCAATATAATACAATCTCAATACACAGATCATCAGTTCTGTTAGGAAGCCCAAGTACAGAAACAAGTAACTTCTCTCTGTATCCCAGATTCTCCACTGTGGGATGCTGGGCAGGTGGGGTTTTTTGTGGGAGGTCTAGATAGGGTCTTTGTGTGTAGCCCTGGCTGTCCTGGAACTCACTCTCTCTGTAGACCAGGCTGGCCTCAAACTCAGGGAAATGCACCCACCTCTACTTTCCAAGTGCTGGGATTAAAGGTGTGCACCACCACCACCCAGCAGGCAGGTAATTTTGATCTCTCTGTGCTGGAATTTTTTTCACCTTCATAGGCATCACAATGTACTTGACAGAATTGTTGAGAGGATAAACTAAAGACACATGTCCAAGCCCTTGAAGGCTAACTTTCTTTTCTGAGAAACACTAAGTGTCTGGCCTCTCCACTCTCTGCCTGTCTGTTGAGTTGACTGGTTTGTCCCTGCATTAAATGTAACCCCTGGTAGACAGGATGAACCTTTGCATGCTTCTGGCTTTCGCAGAAAACAGATCTAGTCTGTATGACTCAAAGCCCAGAGGCAAACCACAAGTAGGAATGCGTGCCTGCAATCCCAGTGTTTAGGAGGTAGCAGCAGGAGCATCGGGAATTCGGTCATCCTCAACTACACAGGGAGTTTAAGGCTAGCCTGGATACATCAGACCCTGTCTCAAATGAAAGACAAACAAAAAAGCCTGCCGGCCACCAGCGATCACCAAAGCCAGCTCCCTACACAGACAGGGCATGAGCTTCTGGCCTTGCTCCAGCCTTCCCTCGTAGGTCACCTGCCATGCCTGGTTTCAGACACCTGCTGACTGTTTCCTTTGATGTTTCCGTTCTCTCTGTATTTCACCAACAAACTAGAGTGTACTACTATCCAGCGTGATGGTTGGTGTTACCAGCTTGACAGAATCCAGAGTCACCCGAGAGATGGACCACCAGGTCGACCTGACTCACTGATCGAGGTAAGACAACCCACCCACTTGGGGCAGTACTTTCCCTAGGTGGGATCCTGGACTGTATGTAAAAATGCAGCCATGGCACTCTTCGGCTGTAGACTGCAGTGGCCAGCTGCTTCAAGCTCCTGGTGCCTTGAACTATGAGCCGGAATAAACCTTTCTTTCCCTTAGATTATTTTTGTCAAAGTATTTTATTGCAGCATTGGGAAAAGAAACTAAAACATCTGGATAAGATAACTGATATCCGTTAAGCATTTTCTAAACATTCTAGAAGCTTCCTGCACCTTGCCTCAACTAACCCTCCTCATGTAGCCTCTCCAAGAACCTGAAAGTCTGCTTCCTGTGTTCGTGGCATGGAGAAGTTAAACATTTTGCTCAGAGAACTGCAGGGAGCAGACACCCTGGGCTGCACCCAGGCTTGGTAATTTCTCCTTACTCCATGGCTCTTGCCTAAGAGGGTCAGCGAGTCTATCAGCAAGTATCCAGGTAAACTGACAGGCTGAAAGCCAAGACTCTATCTGTGATTCAAGCTGAAGTGTTGCCATGTCTCTAATCTCCTGAACAGGACCTTGACCTTGGTGGCGGAGCCACTTACTGCCATCCCACACTGGTTCT